ATAATTGTATTCATTGCATGCCGTAATAACTTTCAAGAAAGAAATTAGTTCGTTGGACGTCAACTTTGCATTGGCAGCAATGGACAAAAGATAGAAAAAGGCTTGGTACCAGGAAACCGCTCTTTATTTCTTGATAGCAATCTTTCAGGTGACTACTAGACCCATTAGAGCCTCAGTATGCTTTCTAAGCTTCCGAAAAAGGCCTCAAGAAGGTAGCAAGGCAAGAAAATGAGTTTTCCCCCAGTGAACTCTTGATGTCCAACATGGCGGCCAATTTACTGTGTGGGTTGGATATACGGTACTTAAAAGTTATGAATATACCTAGCACGCATATCCTCTATAGTCTGGATGAGTGAAATACAGCACAGAATACAGTAGGCCGACCTATCCTATACTTTTCTGAAAATTAAATGAGTATGACTTTCCTTTCTCTAACTCCCAGAGCATCTCAGGCTTCTCTTTAATGGTACCGTATACTGGGATATTTACGCGTCGCTAAATTTTCACGAATTTTGCATTTGTAAGATTTCATGAAATAATATTTTTGCAAACAGCCTATAAACTGTACCACGTGGCACTGGAAAGTTACAATTTCATGATTTTTATTTTTGCGACGAAGTAAAAAACGTGAAATTTGCGAAAATTTGGCTACTCGAAAATTTCCCAGTATACGGTATTTCTCTTGTTAAGCTCTGTAAGCTCCTTGCTGCAGCAGCCATTTTAACTGGTTATTATAGTCTGAGCATGGGCATTAGAGGCAGCCATGCGTTTGGATAAGCAAGGGTTTGGATAAAAGAGGTACGGATAATCGAGGACGTACTGTATCAGCAATTTCTCCACACAGATCTGCCATCATTTTACATATTAATGACACTATACTTGTATGTTTGCATATGCATGTACGTGTATATTATCTCGTAGAGGATCTGTGTTACTGAGATGATACTAAGAAGAGATTCAGAAAGCTTTTATTAATGACTCCATTGAACCGTGTGTCAGCCAATGTGGCTTATTTCCTTAACTGTTTATTAGTAAGATATGCAGTGATAATAGTACACTAACCATACATTTGTACATAATGTACATGTAACTTTAATTTTGTCATTATTTGACTTTGCTCTTTTTTATTTTTTTGACTGATACTGAAGAGATTGTTTCTGATGAAGTAAGTACTGTACAGTACTATTGTCTCCTACTCTCCTGTTGTATCATTGGTCCTCTCTCTCTCTCTCTCCCTCTGAGGTTGCTGCTTCAAAAAAGAAGTCCAAGAAGAAGAAGGGAGGAGGAAGTGGTGGTGGTGGTGCTAGTGGTCCAGTCACTAAAACTACATCTGCTGGAAAAGGTATTGTGCTATATCTTTTACAGCATGTGTGACATACAGAGCATAATGTGCATTCACTCTACATGTATATGAACATGTAATGACTTTATTATGTTACTATTAATGTATGGAGCCATTGCAGTGCATTTATCATGATCAAAGGCCATATGCAGTGTATGTTTACTTTACCTTTTACTTTGTACAATAGCTGCAATTGATAATATGCAACTTGTACATGTACAGTACATTGATGATATATTTTGTTTAGACTTGTCTCAAGGAAAGTTATGGAAACTGTTAGTGGAAGATGTACTTCAGCATTTCCTGTACACATTGGAATAGTAAGCTAATAATAACGGAATAAACAATATTTAATGATGTATATGTACTTAAATATCTATCTCTTTCTCTAGTAATTCTGTAACTCACATGTGTACTACTTGTGGTGTTAGCAGAGTCTCTCTTCTCAGGGAATTCTGTAACAAAACAGGTTAGATAGCATCATACCTCATTAATATTCATTGACCGCATCCCTTATCAGGAGTACAGATGACATTGAAGGATTACAAATTTTCCTTGACTGCTCCATTCAATGAAGGTGATCTTGCCTGTATTGTACCTGTTGTTAAGCACACTGATTTTAAAGTGAGACATCACTTCATTTATTACTGCTTTGTACTGTCACTTTTGCTACACAATATATACCGTAGTTTAGGGAATTTATGTGGTAGAAACTTTTGTGTTTTTAAATGATGCTGTTATTTAATTTTACCAAATAAGACTGTGTCATGTATTATTGAATGTGGCATATAATTATGTAGGTGATCTAATTTTTTTTGGAATTCTAATCCAGTGAAATTAAAATCACAGTGAAAAATTTTCAGATCGATGGTATAATTATGTCTTTTACATGTATGTGTACTTCAATCTTCAACAATTTTATTGTATTTCTAATTTTCTTTTTATCTTAAATTTTCTTTCCCTCAATCCCCCCAGCCTCTTGAAGCCTCTGGCTTGTATGAGTTGGCTCAGGTTCAGTTGCAGTCTGGTAATATTGAAGTTGCTCTTGACTATCTATCTGGAGCTGTGCAATTGTTTGCTCAAGTCTTTGGGCCACTACATGTCAACATAGCAAACTGTTATAAGTGAGTGGTGTCATTTAAGTACTTATATATTCCATTGTATTATTATATATAGAGTTATTGCACGAATTCATCATGCTCTAGGAGACAGTAAACTAGTAAGTGGTGCATGTAACTACATGTATGTGCATGCCATGTACATGTTAATGTATCTAGTGGTTGTACATGTAGTTTAGTTTAAATGACTGATACCGAGTTAAGATGTTATGCATGTTTGAAAGTTTACTCACTTTTACCTGATCCCTGGTTGTTATCAATTAATAATAAAAGCTGAATTTGATTTGGCTGTTCTAGCTGCGTAATTTTGGTCAAGGTATGTCATTGAGTTTATGAGGGACATCCAAAAAAGGCTAAGGCCTTGTCATTTTGATCCGTTCTTTTCTAAGGACTGGAAGGACCTAGTAATTCTAATGGCACAAACAAAATTTCTAAATTCCTGGATTATCAAAAGTTATTATAAACAAGCGTAACAGTGTAAAAGTATTACTATAATTGATTTCACCACCTTGCATGTACAGCTGGGTTCTTATTAAAATTTAAAGAGGTTTTCTCTACCTTCTAATCCTTCAAGAAAGGTCTTGAGACTGTACATATGTTCTTTTGCTTAAAAACTTATAACTTTGTTCTATGTGTAAGCCACCATTTTGTTTGCTCTGACTACATAAAGGAGCGTGGGAGGGTGTTTGCTAAAGCTTATGAATTTTCTTATTTCTCCAATACAACATGTATAAAAGAAATGTAAGTGTGGACATGCAAATATGCAAGCATCGCATGTGGGTGAAATCAATTATACATGTAGGAACGACAAGGGGACTACACCCCCAGGTCGTTAAAAATCACTAAGTCAAATGAAACTCAACAGACTTTAGTTCAAAACGCTTTAAAACTTTATTAATATTTTAATTTCTTTACAAGGTAGCAATTAATAATTTACTCAATTGAAATTTAATTTTAAATTGACTTGCTACATTTAATCTCTCTCTTTTTTCATCTTCAAAACTGTCATTATGTATGAGAGACTGCTAGGAGTGGACCACTGCAGCTCTATATCAGCCTATGTCAGTTATTAATAACTGGCCACACACACAATATTTATTATACATTTATCGCACTATTAGTTCCCTACAAAGCATGCTAAGTGAGTTAAAAGGCATGCTTTATGAGCTGACAAGCCTTTGAAATTCATAAAAAATCCAAATTTGATTAGAATGAGCTCAAACTTTGGAACATCATTAGGACATGTATATGTATCAGAAACATGTCTCTTGAGCAATTTTTGGCAAAATTTGGTCAAAAACCAAATTCTTTGGTATTGGCCCCTTTTTTAGCAAAATTTAAAAATTAATGAAAATCTGATTTTGATCAGAATGAGCTTCAACTTTCTGTACAACATATGGACATGTTTTGAGAAAATTATAAACACAGAATTTTCTCCTAAGTTGTTTTTGGCAAATTCTGGCCAAATACCATGTACCATGTCTTTGATCCAATTTTAAAGCAAGTTTTAAAATTTATAAAAATCCAAATTTTGACTAGAGTCTGCTTAAAATTTTTACACAGTATTAGAACTTCTATATGAAT